TGTATCTTTAACTATCATGTTAATGTTGTTGTTGGGTTTTGTGATCTCGTGATAATTGAGCCTGTTAATAGATGTACAATATGCATGCATCTAGAGGTTCTGTCCTTAGTCATCGGTGGAGGATGACGTGGTTGTGTTGAATTGTCGTGTATGCATTACACCTATGTGTTCATCTACTTTAACACATTGCCGGTATCTTGTTAGTTTATGTGTATGTAGTACACATGTTGGTTATGCCTTGTTGTATTGTGGCTGTTGGTGTTATACCCTGCGCTGAGAATCAGAGGTACCGTTACCTTCCAGCTAGGGCTTGGAGAACTGACTGCGCTGAGAATCGAAGGCACCATACCCTTCCAGATAGCGCCTGGTAAACTGATAGATTGTTGTGAGAAGTGTATCTTTGGCTTACTACGCATATAGCTAGTAGAGCAAAGCGTTGTTGTTATTGTTTCAGTATATCTGGGAACACTATGGATTGTGTTGGTTACAGTTTTGGAGGGCCGAGTTGCCTCATTAGTTTATCTTATGCTTGTAGTTGAGTTTTTACCTCCCGTTTATAAAGGTATGCTTGTGTAATTATGATAGAATTGGGATTGAATCGAAATGCGCTTTTGTCTTTCGGAAGTGTGAAGAAAATTGAACTTTTAAAAAAGAATACGTTTTGAAAAGGCACATTTGTTGTATGTGTGGAAAGTGGAAGGGAACAGTGGGTTTAGTGAATTTATTTCCTAAATAATTGTTAATGTTATGAAAGATTTGGAACGAGGTTTAATGAAAGGGAAAGAAAGATGAATCGCTTATAGCGTTGAATGAAATGGTTGTTTTCGAGAAAAGTTCATACATACATATATATATATATTTTGTATAAACTGTCACATTTCTATTCTAATATGAGAATGAGCGTTCATGATCATAGCTATCTGTAAGTTGTTATTGTTGAGGATCATGTTGAGACCCCTACTGGACTATATGTTCATCCCACGTTGTTGAATCTTTTTCAGGTGTTTAGCAGGATGTGCTACAAGATTTGGATCTTCTTATTTGTTGGCCACGGGGCCTCTTTGTTGTAGGCAGAACGCCATATATGTAAAAGGGTTGCACCCTTCATTTGATTATTTAATGTTGTAAGCCTGAGGGCAATTTATTTAGAATGCTCGTATTGTATTTAATTTGCATTCGAATGAGAGAATTGTTGTTTATTTCTACTAGTTGAACAATTGAGTTTATTTCCGCATGTTATCTCTGAAATGGAATTAAGTTAATGAATTTTGGTAATACTTCGAGTAATAAAAAGTGGGGCGTGACAATTTGAAATTCATAAATTAATGGATAATTATTATTCTCAAAATAATTAAATAGGCATGGGAGAAGTTGAAAATGATGTGTATGGAAGAAGTCAAAAAGACTTGGGAGAAGTCAATAAGTACTAAGGGTTTTTTTTTTTAAATCAAAAAATTAAGAAATTAAGATTAAGATATTGGAATTTCAACAAGCCTTGTGAGTTAGAAACCACCCGTGCTATGCACGAGATAATTATAGATATGTATATTTGTTTTAGATTTTTTTTAATATATAAATTATGTTTTTTAAAATTTTTTATAAAAATAATTTAACAATCTTATCACTAATGTATGAGAAAAGTTGAAAAAGGTACTGCAGTAACTATACACGGATTGTATCTTTAATTATTTGTATGAGGGGATTTTGAATGCTGATCAAGTGATTTTGACTAAATCAATCAATACAGGCATGTGAAAAACATGTAGATTAAAAAAAGTTAATAAATGCTGATCAGGAGATTTTGACCAAATCAATAAATGTTGAGTTTTTTTTTTAATAAGAAATTTAGAAAATTCAAATTGGGATATTGAAACTTCCACAGGCCTTGGGGTTAAAAACCCCCTTTTGTTTAATATATAGTATAGATACTAGCTTATCACCCGTGCTATATACGGGATAATTATAGATATTTTTATATTTTTATATTTTTTTAATATATAAATTATGTTTTTTAAGATTTTTTTATAAAAATAAGGGTATCTATAATTATTTGTATGATAGGATTTTAAATGTTGATTAGGGGATTTTGACCAAATCAATAAATGCAGACATGTAGAAAGACATGTGGATTGAAAAAAGTTAATAAATTTAAAAACCCCCTTTTGCTTAATATATAGTATAGACTAGCCTATCACCCGTGCTATGCACGGGATAATTATATATATTTTTATATTTTTTTAATATATAAATTATGTTTTTTAAGATTTTTTTATAAAAATAAGGGTATCTATAATTATTTGTATGATGGGGTTTTAAATGTTGATTAGGGGATTTTGACCAAATCAATAAATGCAGGCATGTAGAAAGACATGTGGATTGAAAAAAGTTAATAAATGCTGATCAGAGGATTTTGACCAAATCAATGTTCAGTTTTTTTATTTTTTACATAAAAAATTTAGAAAATTCGAATTGGGATATTGAAACTCCCACTGGCCTTGGGGGTTAAAAACCCCTTTTTGCTTATTATATAGTATGGATAGATATAGATAGATAGATAGATAGATAGATATAGGTACACAATATTTTTTATCTTTATTATACATAGTTACTTTTTTTCACTCCACTTTGCTCCAAATACACTCCATTCTATATATAATAAAGATAAATAAAAGAGTATATTTGAAACAAAATAGAATAAGAATAGCATCTCTCTAAATAAACTCTTATTAAAAATACGTGTACATTTATACTTATTTATATTCAAAGAAGAACCATTTAACATTTGATGGGGAGTGTGTTTTGGTGAAAATGAGAATATGAAGAGAGCACCAATGTACCACTGGGGTGGTGGCAATGTGGAAAGGTGCCTAGTGTATTCCTTAATTGGTTGAAATTGATCGTACTATATTTTGATCATGACTTTGCTTCCTATGATGAGGGTTGGTGCATTCCCTATTTGTCCTGGTGATGAATCATTTCCTTAGATTGAGTTAAACTTGACTAACAACAAATTACCTAGAACCAAAGCCCACAATTACACCAATGTTATGGCTTTTATCTAAACAAGACATATCATCCTATTGCTTAAGTTTGAAACTTGAGAAAATGGTACCAAATTTTTTTATTATTATCCTCTAAATAAACTCTTATTAAAAATTGTTTTCTTCAGCTTTAAGGAATAAGATATTTATGAAGTAATCTCCATTATTTCTTTTCATTTAATTTTGATTAAAGATTCCATGAATTTTTATTAAATCTTTTATAAAATCTCATGAAAAATCCTCCTTTACATTAAACCTGAAAATTTTATAAAACGAATTGTGGCGTCTAGTCAATTTCAATCCTCATCAACTAATTGAATCAAGTAGTTCACTTCGATACAAAATTTTTCTCAACTCAATCTAGTCAATCCAAAACATGTACAACTAGAAAATAGAAAGAAAAAAATGGAATACAAATCAATTACTTCACAACCTCTCATATCACTATCTCACTTTGTAGGTCACAACTCACGTGAAAATGTTATGTTCGATTTTTTTATTAGTTTTTGTGAATATATTATGTTGGATTCTATGATTAATTTATGTATAAATAAAATACTTGATTGTTTGATTTGATTTTTTGATTATGTTTTCAATTTTTTTTCTTCTAAAAACTAAAAATTATTTTGATGAAAAAACAAACGCTTATCTTTTGAAAGGCATAAATTATTTTGTTTGGTTTCAAAAAATTGAGTTTTTTTTGTTTATTGTGGTTTTTTTTAGCCAAAAATTTTAATATTTTAAGAAAAAAAATTTATTTTTTAAATGCACCTAACCTATATAAACTTAAAAAGTATAATATTTATGAATTTTTTTTATAAAAAATTCATAAAAATTCAGTACATTTTCGTATTATTATGTATTTATTAAAAAAATTAAATATTTTTTTATAAATATTTTAATTTTTAAATACACCTAAATTATGCGTATCTAAAAAGTAAAAAAATTATTTAAAATATTAAAAAATCACTAAAAATAAAAAATAAAAAAATTAATTTTAAAAAAATAAATCAAAAACCAAACAAAATATTAGAAATATCTTTTTTGTACTAAAAATATTTTTTTAATATTCAAAAAAAAAAAATCAAACAAAACATGTTAAAAGGCTCCTTGGTGGCAGCCCATACGTCCATGCTCGCAATTCCAGATATGACTCGGAGCTGAGAGCGAAAAACAAGTTGTTGCCCCCCATGTCCATGTCCATACCTACGCAAAGGAAGAGAGAGAAACTCCATTTGAGAGAGAGAATCCAACTTGTTTGGTTATAGTTTTTTAAAAAATAATTTTCACAAAATTTTATTTTTTTATTTTCGGTATTTTAATATTTTTAATGATTTTTTTAATATTTTAAGTAATTTTTTTAATTTTTAGACACACTTAAAATAAATACACTTAAAAAGTATAATATTTATGAAAAAAGTCTTTAAAAAAAATATTAAATACCAAAAAATATATAAAAAATACAAAAATTCAATATATTTTTCATATTTTTATATATTTATTAATTTTTTAAAACATTATTTCACAAATATTTTACTATTTAGATACTTCTTAGTAAGATAAATCTAAAAAAGTAAAAAAATTACTTAAAATTTTAAAAATATTTATTAAAAACAAAAAAAAATACTAAAAATAAAAATTTAATTTTCAAAAAAATAAATTAAAAAAACTGAAACCAAGCACGCTGACGACTTCTTAGAAATAGATAGGCCCTGTTTGGTAGAGCTGTAAGAAAGTGATTATAATTTATAACTTAACAGTTTATAACTTATAACTGTGAATATAAACTGATTTTTGACTTATAAATTAAGTTTTTCCTCCCTTACTCAAAGAATAAGTTAATTTTTTACTTAAAAAAAGTTATAGACTATATTATTAAGGTGAACCAAACACGTCAAAATAGTTTAAATTAAATTAAAAATTAAAATAAATTGAAAATAAACTCTACCAATCCGGGCTAAGCTCGCAACCCTCTCTCCCTCTCATCCCTACCCATTTGCCCATATACTTTCGTCTTCTTTCCCATTAAAATTCTCTTTACATCTCTCTCTCTCTCTCTCTCTCAATAGTCAACACAACGATACAGAACAGATCAGAGAGAGAGAATGAAGATCAAGTGCGATGTTTGTGAGAGAGAAGAGGCGACTGTGTTTTGCTCCGCCGATGAAGCCGCCCTGTGCGACGGTTGTGACCGAAGAGTCCACCACGCAAACAAGGTGGCCACCAAACACATCCGATTCTCTCTCCTCCACCCTTCTTTCAAAGAATCCCCTCGCTGTGATATCTGCCAGGTATTCGATCTTATGCTTCACCCACACTCTCTCTCTCTCTCATAATGTATTTGTGTAAGAACAGAAACAGAATTGAAACAAATGTACCAGAAACATTATTGAATTGGAACAGAGACAACCCTGTTTGGTGCATTTTTTCAAGTTGAAATTTTATAATCAGAAAGTAGATCAGCTTACAAATAATTCGCTTTCTTTTCTTTTTCTTTTTCTTTTTTGCAACTCAATAAGATAAATCAAAAGACAGTCTATTTTCCAAAACAGACGTTGTGGTGTGATTTGTTTGAGCGGAAAATATTTTTTAATAAAAAATATTAGAAAAATATTTTTATGTTTGGTATTGTGGTGCTGGTGGAGTGAAGGTAGAGGTGGTGGCCGTGGTGATAGTGGTGTGATGGCAGAGGTAAGAGCGGGTGATAGTGTGGTACCTTTAGTAAAATTTTAGTTTGAAAAATATTTTACTGTTAACTATAAAAAATGTTTTTATTGATTTTTATTGTATCAAAATTCAATACCATATTTTTTGCTCAAACATACGGAGCGTGATTTACCTTGATGTTTCAGCATGGGAATATTGATTGATTGTATTGTTTTGTTGGATCTTTTGATATACAGGAGAGACGTGCCTTTCTGTTCTGCCAAGAAGATAGAGCGATTCTATGTAGAGAATGTGACATTCCAATCCACAAAGCAAACGAGCACACCCAGAAACACAACAGGTTTCTTCTCACCGGTGTTCGAATCTCACCTCCTCCTTCTTCTTCTCCTTATTCATACCAAGCTTCATTGTCCTCCAAAAGCAGTGGTGACGACATTGTTGCCAATGACTCCGAGATCAAATACTCGGTTTCTAATAAATCTTTCTACACTGATAATGCATTGCCTTCAACATCAATACCCAGTAGAGTTGATGAAGATCGGTGTATGAATAGTAGCCAAGAACGATCGGTGTCAACAAGTAGCATATCGGAGTACTTGATGGAGACATTACCAGGATGGCGCGTCGATGACTTCCTTGATCCTTCATGTTTTCCCCATGGTTTCTGCGAGGTTTGCAGTACACTCTACATCTTTCCAAGAACATTATGCACTCGGGACCACACTTAGAACTCACCCTTTGTGTCACACTACGTCTCGTTTTTTATGAAAATATTATGTGCATTTATATTTATTTACTCGTATACATAACGCCCTTGATATAAACAACACACAAATGGTGTACTCAAAAAAAAATCCAAATTTATATATTTTGTATATTTAAAATTGGTAGTTAAATCTATATTATATATTTTTATTTTCGGAAAAAAATCAATACATAGTTTTTGTGCACAACATTTTGTGTTTATAGCCTCACTAATAATATAACTGCCGATCACATTTTTAGGTAAAAAATTAGCTTCTTTCCAGCCTACTAGAGATGTATTGTTGGGTTTAGTGAGATCATCTTGGTAGTATGATTGGTAGTATGATTCGCGCATCTTAAGCTAAATGATCGGATCACTTTGTCTAATAAAAATAGATACGAGTATGATTTTCAAAATAGACTATTTAGTTTTTTAAGCAAAATGTGATCTCATCATGTAATTATCATACTAATATCCAATCAACTTATATATTTGAATTAATGATTTGTTTGACAAATCTTATAAGATGAACCGTTCAATTTAAAAGAGTGCCCAGAATGAATTCATTAAAGCCCAACAATTTATCTCCAATTAGATTACCAACATGATATAATCCTTGTTTGTTGCTGATGGTATTTGGTTTTGGGATTGATTTGCAGAATTATGATAATGAGTTGAGGCTTTGGGATCATGGTTTTGAAAGCAATCTGTATCCTTTATCAGGAGATTCTGATAGTAGGCCACTTCAATCTCCACCTCAATCTTCTCATACTCCTCAATGTCTACCCCAAACTAATGTGATCAATTCACTACTAAAGAAGTCTGATGAATCACAAAATGTGATGAAAGTTGGCATGAAGAAATGGAGTGAAGATGGTTTTACAGTTCCTCAGATCAGCCCTTCTTTCAAGAAATCGAGACATTTTTGGTAGAAGAATATCTGGTCTTCTATTTGAACATAAACTAATCACATACGAGAGGGACTTATAAAAAGTTGAAGCCCGTCTTATGAAAAGGTTTGTCATGATCGGTTTATGTGATTTTAAACTTTTTCAAGAAATATATTGCAAGATCGAACGCTATATGTATTAATTAATGTACTAATTAGTATATTAATAGATGATGTGATATAATTTTAAAGATTTTTTATATTTGTAATTTGTATAATAAGTGAGATCAGTAATAATGGTATAATACTAGTTGGTTCGCTAATATTTATATTAATTGGTGCATGTAACACCACTATTTTATTTATGTTTTGTTGTTTAATCTTTGAATAATGCTATATATAACTAATATACTAACTAATATATTAACAGATGATGTGACATAATTTTAGAAATTTTTGGTATTTACAATTTGTATAATAGGTGAGGTCAGTAATAATGTCGTAACAGTAATTGATATACTAATGTGTACACTAAAATGTGCATTAATTGGTTTATGTAGCACTGCCATTAATCTTTAAGTGGGTCGTCTATGTACACTAATATGTATATTAATTGGTATATATAGTACCACCATTAATCTTTAGGAGGGTCGTCTATGCCAATCACTTTGTAAGATATCAACTTTTAAAAATAGCAATTCAGTATAAAATAAAAAAATAAAAAAAATTACACATCAATCATAAATTTTATAAATATTAATAATTAAAATTTTAAATTTTTATTGTATTTATAAATATTTTTTGATTTTTTGAAAAGCCCACCGGGCTGCAATTCCCCTACTTTCCAAAGCATTGAACATCCCACAAAAAAAAAATAATAACAATAAAAACTAAAAAAAAAGCATTGAACATTTAATTATTGTTTTTTTGGGGGTTTCCCTTGAGCTGTGATAGCTATATGTATGGAATTTACATTTTACACCACTTTTTACCCAGCTATTCAATGCCAGGCATTTTCCGTGAGAGTTCGACAACAGTTCCAATAATTCTATAGATATATTTACTAATATTTAAAAAAATTCTCAAAATACAAAAAACTCAAAAGGATTAGTTATGAAAAATAAAAAACAATTAGTGTGTTTAATTTAAATTTTTTGGATTAAATTTTTAAAAAAATGAATTTTTTAATTTTCATTTTTTAATTTTTTATTTTTACTGAATATTTTTAAAAGTTTAAACATTTTTTTAACTTTTTTAAATGCACCTTACTTCGATATATTTAAAAAGTAAAAAATTTATAAAAAAATATTTTAAAAAATTAATAAATACTTAAAAATACAAAAAAATATATTAAATTCTCGTATTTTTTTATATTTTTAGTATTTAATAAATTTTTAAAAGATTTTTTTCAAATTTTTTTTACTTTTTAGATATATTTATGTTAGGTATGTTTAAAAAATAAAAAAAAATACTTAAAATATTAAAAAAATTCAATAAAAAAAAAAAACAAGAAAATAAAATGTTTTGAAAAATATTTTTGAAAAAATGAAACCAAGCAATGATACCCAATGATGTTTGGACACGTTTTTTAATAAGATTTTTTTAAAAAAAAATTCGCAAAATTTGTTCCAAAAGTTTACTAGATCACACTGACAAAAATCTATACTTTATGGGCCATAATGAAAACTAGATAATACTTTTAAGACTGTTTGAATCATGAATTTGAATAAACATTTAAACTAAAGAAGAAAATTGTGAAAAAAAAAATATGAATAACATATAAACTAATTTTTTTTTACTTTTTTTTTCTCCAAATCCATGATCCAAACATAAGAGTGCAAAGCTTAGACTAAGTTTGGCATCTCCAAAAAAAGTTAAAAAGTCATTATCCTATTTAAATCACATCACCTCTCTATCACATCACTTCAAACCCAACGCATATTTCATAAAAAATCAAAAAGTGTACTTATTTAGAACATCCCAAACAACCCCTTAACTTACTCATTTTTAACACCTGCTCAAGGACTAAAAAACTTTAAAAAAATTTATTTACAAACATCTCCATGTATTAATTGTTGTGTTTAATACAAAAAAAGAAGAGAGAAAAAAAAAAAAAAAAAAAAAAAAAAAAAAAAAAAGGAAAGAGAAAGAAAAGAATAAAAAGAAATAAAAAAATCTTGTTGTAGAAGCTTACAAATATGCAATGAAAATTTCAAATGGCTTCATATGTAGTTTTACATTCTTTTTTTCTTCATTTTAAAGTTTTGTTCATTTTCCCCCCTCTTATTTTACAGCCCCTTGGGAGAGAGATACAAGAGGCAAATATACCTTTTTCAACAGTTGCATACAACTAATAAAAGAATGCCACCCGCTCTATTCCATGAGAAAATACAAACAGGTGGAAGAAGATGATAAAAATCCCTGCAACCAGAAGTCAAACAAATCAGATATAGTGAAATTTTCTGTCCTAATCGCTCTGTTCCGTTTGTTTTGGCATAAAACATTTTCTGCAAAAATATTTTTATGTTTAGCATCTGTTATGAAAAAAAATATTTTTCATGATCAACAGAATTCAAGTTTGTTGGGGCCAAAAATGTTTTCAAAATGCCACCACATTACCACCGCAGCCCCCAACCCAACCTCCACCTTACCACGACCTCACCAGCACAAGCCACCACTATCACCACCACCACCTCCTCCACCATCCTACCACCACTAGTACATTAGTTTCAAGGTTGCAACCAAATATAGGGGGAAATTTTTATAGAATAGAAAATGTTTTTTTGTTGAAAAATGTTCTCTACCGAAGCAAATGATGCGTAAAATCAAGCAAATCAGTCCAAGCAAATCAATCCAGCTATGTTACAAAATTTGTCTAGGAATTACCAATAACTAACTCAAATAATCCATATGATGTGACATTATGTCTAGACTTGCTGATGGGAAAATTCCAGGAAGAGGAATGGTAGTCACATGTCTATTTTTGAAATTTCTCTCCATGGATTAAACTACCATGTTCACTACTTTTTTTAACATAAAAAATGCAGAAGAAAAAAAAAAAAAACCCTTAATTACCTGACCATGCAACATTGTCAAGGGGTGAAAGCAAAAATCCTATCTGTGATCTTTGTCCGACAAATTGGACACTCAGAACAAGCAAGTGAACAAGATTCACACACTGCAAAAGGTACACACAAAGGTTACTGCTGTTATGCTACTGAGCTTGAGGTTTAAGAAAGCAGAGTGTAAAAGATTTCCAAAAACTTACGACAAAAGTGCCGGCAAGGGAGAAGCATGGTGGCAGTTGGTGTTTCAAAACATATTTTACATACATGAGAATTTGCATCCCCATTCGCTGAATATTTAAGTTCTTTCTCCTTCATCTCTTGGAGTCGAGCCTGAAAGCATTTACAATACAATAAAAAAAACATCGAATCACCAAAAGCACATGAACTAAAGAAGCTACACAACTCCGAGTTAAATGCTAAAGTTTTCGGGAGAAGATTTGCAGGTATAGCAATGCTGTACAATGTTTCATCAGATGCAACTGTAGAAAATTTGTCTACTACATTAACATGTGCTCCTGGCAAATATGTTTTGAATAAAACAGGTAATCAGAAATGTTTTATGGGTGGAAAACATGTCGTTGTATGGAAACATACAGTGGTACTGGGGCTAATCTTCTTATATGGTGTTTTATTATTGGTGTGATACCACTTGTAAATGATGGCATGGTATATCACCGTCGCATTGAAGTTTTACTCATATATAGCCAACACTGAATAATTAGAATGAAGTCCTCTTGAGTGGACTTGAGTTGTGGCCATAGAAATGTTTTTTGACTTAAGGCCACATCATAATTTACCTACAAAGCAAAATGAACTCAGTCGAATGCATTCAGCCAGACAAATGAGAGCGCATGCAAGCTTCTCAATTTATAATGCATAGGGGAGACGGAGTGAGAGGAAAGAGAGAGAAAGAAAGAGTTACCTTCAAACGAAGAACAAGAGATTCTTCCTTGGAAACATCTTGAGCTGGTTTTCTAACATCCGTTACTTGCCTCTCTTTGAGGACATTATTTTTGCTGTCAACATCATCTATTTTCGGATCATTCACACGGTTTATTCCATCAGTTTGTCTCTCATTGGTGCTTAACTCAGGGATAGCTCCCCCCTCTTTTTTCAGCTGTGCAACAAGCACCCACATGTTGGCTAAATCATTTTCCAAAGCTGTCTCCCGTTTCTTTGCTTCTTCAGCTCTTTTCCTGTATTCCTCTTCAACAAAATCCTTCTCAGCCAAGGCAGCCTCAAGGGCCGCCTCCCGTTGTTTCCTTGCCTGCAACTCCATCTTCAAATCATCTGGGTCAAGATCCCAGGAGTCCAACTCACTATAGAACATTCTGGAAACTTCATTAGCTCTGCCAGAAAGCCGTCCTTTTCTACCTGGTCTTATGCTGTCACTATACTTCCTGTTGACACCACTACCAGTTTGTAAACCAGCACCTCTAGAATGTGCCATTTCTTGAGCAGCCAATAGTTCTTTCTCTAGTTTTGCATTATGTAGAGAGAGCTTTGTGACTTCACCAGCCAAATTCTTCAACTCAACGGCAGCAGCAGAGGCCAGTTCCTTTGCATAAGAAGCTTCTTCAGACAATTTTTGATTCTGTACATGTAATCCACTGTTCTCCTCTAAAATATGAACATGTTCTAACTTTAGTTTCTCATTCTCAATTTCCTGCACAAAGAACCAAAACCATCTATGTAAGGTCCATTATGCACACAACAAAAAAAAAAAAGTATATAAAACCCACATCAGTTCCTGCTTTCAGTTAAATTTAGATAATATATTACATGCTCTTCTAAAAATTATTAAAGATTCTTGAATTGGACACGTGAAGAGAAATTGTTTAGACCTCAAGAGCATGCAACAAACTTTATTAGAGCAGGGACTCAAACGGAAGGGGTGAACTACACATGTTAACGCCTTCCTATGAATATGAAAGAAAATCCTGGACACAAATCACACATTAATGATGAAACACACTAGCTGCATTTGGCATTCCAGTGGAAGGCTAACAGCAGGTCAAACATATCATTGTTGGTAAAAGTGATATAATATATGCTGTACACCACTTTGCTTTGGTAAGACATCGCAGTGAATTTATAAATCCAGCTGTGGTTGAATAATGCTTGAATTCTCAAATTAAAACTACACAGAAATTAGCAGAATCAAACATCTACAAGGGTAAAAGATAAAGTGATATTGCAGAATAAATTATAAATTCCATCCAAAACATCAAAACCATGACTGCAATTCTGTCAAGGCGTGCGCATATTTAAAAGCCAGAAGACCCAATAATCACCTGAGACTTAATTTTCTTTCTCAACTCATCCACGTATTCTTCAGATATACATTGTTCAGAAGATGACGATTTACCACCACTTCCTGAAGCCAACTGCTGATCAAGGAGATTTATTTTCTCTTGCAATTCCTTATTCTCTGCACACTGATGGCAACAAACACATAACCCTTTCAAGCAAACAGGAGAAAGGAAAAGCAGAAAGACAACATTTTATTTAGCAAAAATTGCTAGCATCATCTTCAACCAGATAGGTATGAAAAAATAATAAAATATTGCGGTATGGGCAAATTTTAAAAAAACACGTGCGTCTAAAAGGTGCAGTAGAGTGAAGTCATTTTGACCTTATTCTGCAGTTGCTCCTGGAGGATGCGATTGTCTGCTGATGTTATCTGCATTGATTGACAATAAAAGCAAGCAGCTTACCAATATAGTGCAGCAAATGATTGGAATCTTAATTTGACATAATATTTTATGAAGTGAACTTCCCATGAAACTTTGCAGATAAAACATTATATGGAAAATATACTGGAGTACTGACCTCTAGCTCAAAACTTTTTTCATTACACTGGGTCATCAATTTCATCACTTTCTGTTGCTCCGAAAATTGAAAAGAAAAAGATGCAATGGTTGAGTTATTTGCCAAAAAATAATGAATCTAGGATGGACTTTGAGGTTAATGTTAAAATTAAATTGAAGAGGAAAATGCAATGAAGATGAAGATTACCTGTTGCATGTCAATTAATGAACCATTAGCAGTTGAAGCCTCACCACTTTCCATAATGCGTTGTTCCAAAACCCTCATCTGCCTTCTCTTTTCTTGGATTTCATGTTCCAAGTTCTGAATCTGTATACAAGAAAGAAAGCACATCCGCACAAATAATGAGTCCCGATACCAAGAATATCCAAAGGCAAGCACCATATAAAAATTTAAACCATAAAATCTGAACAGTGAAAGTTGCATGTCATTGGTTATCTAAGTTTCTTGAAGAGTCGACTTGCTGTAATCTTGCACAGGGACTGTGCTGGAGAAATGTGTGTCCTAAGATGATTAAAATGAAACTAGATTTAGCTACACTTCAGAAATTATTGAAGACAAGCTGAAATATATCATAAGAATTGCACTAAATGATCCGAAACTGCCTAAACTTAAGGCATTAGTCAATGGTCCAATAGAAAAGAATCAGATCAGCTCATAAATTATACACATTTATATGGCAAGCAATGCGCATATCCAAACACTATTTAATGCTCTATCAAACATACAATAAACAAAGATCAAATATAAAGAAGTATATACAGTGAAATATTTGTGCGGAAGAGTAAACTAACTCAGACTTTAATTTTTCATAAGATGATAGGAACGCTCCCACCCTCATGAAATGAGAGGACAAAAGTACATGTTCATTAAATGAATGCACCATATTAAATAAAGCATAGATCTTAAAGTGATCAGTAAAAGCTTTACTTGAGTTTTCGAGCTAACAGGATCATTCACGGACTGTTCCACCAAACGCTTCAAGGTACTGGTGCTGAATGCAATCTCACCACCAAGCATCTTAACTTGCTCAACAAGAAGGTCCATTTGATCTGACATTGCCATCCCACCCTGCAGTCCAACAAAACAATTATAGTTACAGATGTTAAATGCCAATGTGCAAATAAAATATATGAGGAAATTGTTTATCACTACATAATTAATGTACCCAATGATTTAAGTATCTGAATCTGTTCATTTGTTGTTAACAGTCAAGGTAACTTCATGAAACTCGGCAAACTATTGACTGGTTTCACAGAAAAATGATACACTAAAAAAAATAAAGAAGATTGAAAAGAGAGAAGAGAGAGAAGCACTTGTGCAATTTATGGGTATGTAGCTTGGAACAAATTTTGGTCAAATAGAATGTACAAGGAAATTGTTTGTCACTACATAATTAATGTGCCCAACTAGTTTAAGTATTTGAATCTGTTTCATTTGTTAACAGTCAAGGCAACCTCATAAAACTCAGCAAACTATTGACTAGTTTCATAGAAAAGAGAGGAGCAGCAAAAACAAACTATTGGCAGTTTTAAACTACAGGAAGAACCACTGACAAGTTCACCCACTTGAGTTGATTCAGTAACTGTACTGCCAGCTGGCGATAATTCATCATTCCACTTGTTGGAAGATCTTGTGTGTTTAAATTCATTAGAAGGATCGGATGAAATTGCCAAAGCAGAAGATGAGAATTCTTTGTGATTCTCACTCCCTATGAGAAAAGAACCATCACGCAAAACATCCAGCTTCTGAAATAGCATGAAAGATCACTATCAAGGTCATGTTTTCCTATATTGAAACACAACTAAAACAATGAAACCAAGATTGATTCAGAAACAAACAATCTCTAATGTGCTTATGTGTGCAGCAAGCATGCAGAGAGAAAGAGAGAGAGAGAGAGAGAGATTGATTGATTGATTGATTGATTTTCCAAAAGAAACCATTGCAGGAATCAACCCAGCGAGGATCTTTGTGATTCTCACTCCCTATGAGAAAAGAACCATCACGCAAAACATCCAGCTTCTGAAATAGCATGAAAGATCACTATCAAGGTCATGTTTTCCTATATTGAAACACAACTAAAACAATGAAACCAAGATTGATTCAGAAACAAACAATCTCTAATGTGCTTATGTGTGCAGCAAGCATGCAGAGAGAGAGAGAGAGAGAGAGAGAGATTGATTGATTGATTGATTTTCCAAAAGAAACCATTGCAGGAATCAACCCAGCGAGGATCAAGATGAAAATCAATATAAGTACATAAGAGAAAATTGAAACTAGCAACAGGTTAACCCAGGGGAAAACTAGCAACAGCTTCTGAAACTAGCAATAGGTTAACCCAGGAGAAAATAATCCCCAAATACAAAAATCAAAGAAACAAAAATGAAGAAAAGGGGAAAACATTTGATGTTACTTTGGAGTTGTGTATGCGTCATTTGACCACTGCAGTATCATTCACTCAAACAATTGAAGTACTAAACATATGCTAGAATGAGAAAAATAAAAGGAGAGCACAAGAAGAATCATTTCAATAACAAAAAATCTGCTGGTAATTTAAGGCTAGCATTATTGTTCATTTCATTAAAAAAACCTAGAAGTAAATGATCATAATTTCAATTAAACTCATTCAGTATCTGAATTGATAATGTTACTTAGATTTTTAATTCGAATTTTAGTATATCCTACACTGTACAAACTATAAAATCAGAAATGCCAGTTTTTCTTTTTCATTTGCTTTGTTCCAACTGCCAAAATAGTAATTACTAGATCCCTGCATTCATTTGTTTTAATGAAAAGCCTAATAAATTGCTACATTTGGTCTAAATAAACGATCAATCTACAATAAGAGTTTAAGAAAAAGGAGGAGGAAAAAGAATAGAGAGAGGGAGGGATACAGATCAGTTAAGTTCTAATTTACAGAAACTGGAAAAGACAGCTTACATCATCCTCGCCAACAGAATGCCTCCGTTGATGACTGGGCACATCATTCAAACATCCAGGAATTGTATTCTTTGTAGAAACGAGTATGAGCTTGGTTAGCCTTTGTATTCTACTCATTAGAGCAGCCTTTGCTTCCTCCTCTTCCTCTAATCTTGACTGCATTTTCACTTGACCTTCTTCCAACTGTTATATCAATAACAAAAGGTGAACATCATATGAGAACATAAATCTGCATAGCCAGTCTCACTGGAAGATTGGAAAATCAAAAACTAAGAAAAAGAACCTCCATTACATATGCCAAACAGGTTTGGTTCAATGTTAGTCAAACAAAGCCAATTCCATACAAATGCAGAATACAAAAGATTTGGAAGGAAACCTGTTGTCTTAAGCTAATAACCTCCTCATGACTGACACCAACAAGAATCCCCTTCTTTAGCTGATCAAGTTCTAGTTTGAGGCTTGATATTTCTCTTTGATACTTTTTAATCAAAGACTTTTCATCAATAATCTGGAAGAAGAGAGATTTTATAAATCAGCAAACAGTGAACTTTGTGTATATAAAGTGAATTCTTCTTGAAATATCATATAATATATACTGCTGTCAGGACACCTTATTACGTGAGGCAAAGATCTCAACACACTTTGCCCTGCTCGCAAATTTTAACGTGTTATGAGTTTCCTCCATATTACTGGATGCAGGAGTAATTGTGCAAATAAGCTGCGGAGAAAGAACAAAAAAGAAAGGTAAGAGACATGTCAGATCTTATTGCATGATATTTCCTTTGGTTGTGTACTGCATTATGGTTCAGAATGAGGTAGACGAACAAAGTAGAAAGTATATATAATAAAGTTACAGTTAAAAATATTTACAGCATTGAAAAAATATAGCTGCTAAGTTTTCTCTTGTGGACTTACAAACACAAATTAGATGAGTTCTGGGAAGAAACATCTATGAAATCAAGCAAAGTAAACCTAACATTATTCTTTTGATTCTCATACTCACTGAAACATGTCCATGGCCACTCAGTGAAGATTGCAGGAGGCGGGTAAGCTTGGAATCTCGGTATGGAACATGAGAAGCCTTCCCCTCACTTAGTTTTCCAATTACCTACACATTCCAAGTAAAATTATGCAATTGGAGATGGAAACACATACATATAGAAGCCATTAACTACTGAAACTCAAGAACAACATCCTCTCAGAAAGCAAGTGAAATTTTAAAACGGTTACAGCACTAACTCCCATTAATATAATCCATAGTTGACCGAGGATAAACAGGTGACAACATTACCAATGTCTTCTCTCTTTTTTTTCCCTCTCACTAGGAAAGGTTTGAACCTAAGACTAAACCAAATCACATCCTGCACCTTCAACACACAAGCCACAGACTAGGGACCAATTTCCGTGACTTGAACCAACGGCACCAGGGATGCTAACAGCAAGCCTTACCGTTGGGCCAAACTGCCGTTTCCCCAACCAGGTAAAAAAATAGTATTGAGTCTTTTTTCTATTTCTGGTGATAAAAATTAGTATTAATTAAGGGAACCAATAAGAAATCCAATCAAAGGTTAGTAACAAAAGTAAACATTGGGCACTTACAGTTCCAAGTGTTAGAAGACTTTTGTTAATGTATGCTCCTTCCTTTCTCCTCAATCCAGTTGTTTCAGTTTTTGAGCTCTCAGATCCAGCTAAATCAATCAAATTCTAAAATATAAAGGCAAAACAAAGCACACTGTCATTATCGCATAACAAAGACAAACATTTCAGACCAGAAGAATGATACATGATTTGAAGCATACAAGTTGAGAGAAGACCACTCCATCATATTCATCACCGTGGGCACTACTTTCAATCATCTGCAAACACATCAATAGGTTAGACATCGGAAAATGAAAAAAAGGAAAACAAAGCATAACACTCAAAATGGCTATGCAAAAACAATCAGTACAAGAAAGTAATGATGAGAAAATTTTGCATGTGAGAAAACAAGTCTTTATCCAATTACAACCAAAGATAAGCTCATATCCCTTGCATTTACCGTAACATTTTCCTGGCAACAATTAGGTTTAACAAAGCAAAATGCAAGTTTTGTCTGAGAATATAAACAAACCAGTGTGAATATTGTATGACTGCGGCTACTGAATAAATTAAAGTTATTCGAACCAACATGACGATGCTCTGCATAACAATCATTAAACCAGTGATGAGAACTCAGTCAATCAATAATCCAACAACTAACACAGAGCAAGGAGGGAAGATGCAAACAACAGATTACAGTGAATACCTTCTCCAGCAGCAATAAAAGAAAGTGCATGCCCTGGTGACAAAACAACTTCTTCCTTTATACCCTCAACGTAAGTACCCTGTAAATGTGTTGCCAGTACAAATAAGAACAATAAACAGGAATTAACAGAAATCAGGTATTGACAAAATTTGGAAGAGTTTTGCTATAGTCAGGATTAGAACCCCTCCAGATGCTAGATAGAAATTATAGAGCAGCAACATAATCTATGACTAAAGGAAAGTTATTTTGTGGGGGCAATTCTGAAGCATATCAACATCGGATGGATGCAACATCACAATCTTTCCACGTTTTACCATGAAAATAACCAAATGACTAAAATAACAAAAAGAAAACAATGTTCTCATCCTCATGGAAGGCTAAGAAGCATGGACACGGACACGTGACACGACACGGATACGACACGGACACATTGACACGTTAATTTTCAAAAAATGAAGGACACGACACGTGGGGGACGCGTGAAATATGTAATTTTATATATTTATTATATGTTATATATATTAATATATCATTCAAAGATAATAAAAAATACAATATGACACTAATTCCTATAAATTTATATGGTTTTTGTTTTATTATTGTATCTTAAGTTATTTTGTTTAAACTTATAATTACTTTCACATGTATCCAATCGATAGACACGTGTGTTTATGTGATTGACATGTGTGTCTTCCAAGTATCCAAAAAGTATCCGGGTCTTTAAAAAAATTTAAAAATTAGGACACGTTTTGAAGAGTGTCGGACACATGTCCTAAGAGTGTCCAAAGAGTGTCGGTGTCCGACACGGACACGTCACCTTCTTAGAAGTGTCCATGCTTCTTAGATGGAAGGACTCTCATCCAATAGCGATTAAAGCTAAAAAAACAAATTCCATAGAGTTCAGCAAGAAACCTGTGCATCTTCTCTGACTCGCAAATTTTGACCAGTTGGATCAAGCAAGTCATTTATCACCTGTGCACCAATTACAATGGCAATTACAAAAATGTCAACCAACATACCACCACATACCACCACTCAGATTGTAAAAAATAGTGTTTTTCTGGTATAACTGACCTCATTATAGATTTCAAGATATGACACTCGAAGTAAGAACTCTTGTCCTGGAGTCTGAACAGAGAACACAGTTAGTCATTTACAGTTCAATACTTCAATCATAGACAAGCTATTTATGGGAGAGAAAAAAGTTGTCAGAAATAAGAAAGCAAATAAATATGTTGCACCAGCTAAGATGAGCATATGCATCATTGCACTATCAATCTTTGAATATCAAAATTGTTTGAAAATTAACATCAAGTAAACAATATTCTCTTCCTCATGGAAGCACAGTTTTAAAAGAGAGAACGCTTCCATGATTACTCAAAGGCAAAACCATTGACTGAACAAAATAAATGAAAAATGAATTATCATAATGAAAACAAAGTAAAAGGAAAGTGTTGAAGACTCTTTAGTGCAGCAAATTTTTTGTTTTGGAATGCATAATAAAGTGATTCTGCAATAGCACTAATTCTAAATTTTCACAAGGATGGAAGGAAAATAAAGCATCAAAAAAAATAAAACAACACGGAAACTTAAATTTGACAACTTGTCAACAAAAGTGCTATAGTTCAAAGCTAGGAAGCACAAAGACTTCAAAATGGAAACCGTATCGGTGTCCAACACGGATTGGACATCGACACACTGCGGTGCGGGCACACGTGTCCACATGTCGGACACACCACGTGGCATGCTAATTTTTTAACTACTACTTTTTGCTGGACACATTGGCGACTCTTCACGGACAGGTGTGTCCTATGTTTGTACACACCTCAAGACACCTTTGTAAGTTTTTTTTATTTTAAAAAGCTAATTTAGTGTCAAAGTAAAATATATGGAAACAAATCAGGGGAAAATTGAAAATATATATACACACATATATATATCCAGATATGCATTGATGTCTTTTTTATCTCTATGTCCTGAATATATAGATATACAGAGCAAATAAAAATATATAAAGCATATATTCTATGTTGTATTCCCACCGTGTCTATATCATCCCATAAAGAAAATAATAAAGTAATAAGAGCATAAGGAGAAAAAGTGCCTTCATAGCAATATAAGAAAAGGCTGGCATAGAAAAAACATATATTTTTGCAATTAATGGAATTATACTTCAAATCCAAATAAATCCCAGCACACTTACATCTTGAATAATGCTAAAAACATCCTTTATGGCCAATGGTATGATACCTGGAGAATTTTGATCCCCCTACAAAGATTAATACAAAAAAAAAGTCAAATGCAGTCAAAAAAATTTCATATCAAGTTCAAGGGATTTGCTATATATAATGAGATCATTATAAATCGGTATTTGGGAATAAAACATTGCTATTGAAAAACTATGAATGCAAGACGACAAAAATGGTCTTACAGTTAACACTACGGAGATTAAAATTAGATGGAATAAAAGTATATGCACTACTGTGTAATTCTAAAAACTAATTAGACCTATATGAAGTAATGTATTAGGAAAATCTTCACTTACTAGTTACTGTCAACTTGGGAGTATAAGATTTAAATGATAATAGTGGAATTAAAAGACTTAAGCTGACAATAAGTTTAACTTACTAGTCACATGCAGTCAACAGTCAATCAGAGATTCAGAATTATAAAGTTTGTTAATGATCTTTCATGCAATTCAGAAGGAAACTTTTAGCTTTTAGAAAGTAATAAAAGGACATGAACTAAGTATTAGACTTACATGCATAGTGTGCGTCTTCCCACTACTTGTAACACCATAGGCAAAGACAGTTCCTGCATCATTAATAGCCACATCTCACATCAAAATAATTACTTTTAGCAGTTAACCGAAATGTCTTGAAGTAAAAAATACTTAACAAGAAAACGACAGCCCAATTGAATATCGTTTTCAACCATTAATTTAGGCTGCTCAACTTCAGTAAGCAGCATTTCACTAATATTGTTTTCATTTGTTAGTTACAGCATGGAACTAGAGCGTCATCGGGTATTTCGATAACAACTGAATCAATGAGGCATGATTTCAGTAAGCAGCATTTGTCTACTATTGTTTTCATTAATTAGTAGCGAAAATTAACAAAATCTAGTGAATATTACACACACACACCCACACCCACACAGAAAAAAAAAAAAAAAAGCACCATACCATTTACACCTTCCATGGCAGCCTTGACAACCGGCCGCGCAGCTACTTCATATACTTCCTCAGTTATGGTAGAGGGTCCAAAAACTCTATCTGTGAAGGTAAAAACAAATAGGGGAAATTCACAACTACATAAGATTCACATTCCAAACTCCAAATTCAATGCTATTGCATTGATTCAAAATTATACTCAATTCAAATTCAATTTCTTCCCATAATTTACTCAAAATTTAGAATTGGCGTGAAATGAAAATTAAAAGGGCCAGAATTGTACCAAATGCATAAGCTGTAGCCAAATTGTACTCATTTCGAACAATTTTATCACCATCCGCGTACCACGCAATCTCGTCCCCCCGCTGATATTCCCGTTCACTACCACCACAAAAAACAATTATCTCCAATCTCAAAACACATTGCCACATAATAAAATCCTAAATCCAGCAACTCAATTTCCTCAAAAACAAAAGCACTACAGATCTAAATCAATTTTTACTCAGATCTAACATTACCTCAAAGGCCGAAACCGAATCGTCACCGAAATGCTATCGCCGCCGGATCTCGGCGCATCGAGTTCCTCTGCTAGAAGTTCATCGGCCGACACAAAATCAACGGGCGAGCGACCTCCACAGCCCTTGGAGTACACTGAGTCGGTTTGAGGCAGACCTGGAGTCATGGATCTGGAACTGTAACCGTTTCCTGAACCGTAATGCGATGTCGACGAAGACGCACACGAGCGAGGTACAATCCGAGTGCTCATGAACGAAGAAGACGAAGACGATGACGAGTGAGGACTCGAAGGCCTTCGATGGTTGAATGGTGAACTACTTCGTCCCCGAGACGATGAAGCCGCCATTGCTCGATTCAGTCGAGAACTGACGAATTAACAGCTCCACAATCGAGAGAGAGAGTATCTGTCAGAGTTCACGTGGTTGAAGCTCTAAAGCGAAATTGTTCGATTTTTAATTCGGCTTCACGCTTTGAGCAAATGCCTAGTGATATAGAAGCTACTTCCATGGATATATATATATATATATATTGAATATGAAGAGAGACAGAGAGACAGAGAGAGAGTTCTCTTCTTCTTCTTTCAAACAAAGAGAGTTGCAGAGGAGAGAGAGAGAGGAGAAGATTCTGAATAACTGGTGTGGTGAGTTGGGTAGAGAGAGGGGCAGTGAGAAAGATGAAAATATTTTACTGTTTTTTTTTGAACTTCCTCGAAGTTATATGAATTGGATTTTTCCTAAGTAAGAAAATACTTTCTAAGTTTAAACTAATTACTAAATATTTTCAAATTGATATTTGTCATATTTTATTTCAAATTATATTTAAATGGATAGATGCTTTGGCAGCATCATGTTTGGTTATAAAATTTGTATGAACTATAATTTCCTCTCAATATTTGTCTTTGGCTTTAGATCTTCCAAATCATTCCTTCATGATCATAAAAAATAAATAAATTATTTATTCTCATTAGAGATCTGGACCTTGTTTTTTTTTTATCCTTTGATAAAAAAAATTTGTTCTCTTTATAAAAAATAGGGGTAGAGCCAATAAATATTTCTCTTTCGATCCATTCCTGAAGTTGAATATCTCATTTAATAATTATTTTTGATTTAACATGTATGTAGCTTCGTACTTTATAAATTCGTAAATCGCAAAAGTGTTATGCTAATAATTTCTAATAAAAATAGTTATTTGTTAGTGTAGTTGTGACCGTATTGATTGTATGTACTAACTGAATGTTAGTGATGAAGACAGTAATATGATGAAAGTGAATGTTGATAATAACAACGGTGATAAGGTAGTTACTACGACCACTACTGCCATGATAATAGTGATAGAACAGTTTAATGGGAATAATGATTATTAAATCATCACAGTGAAAAAAGAAAGGTATAATAAATATAAAATACAATAATGTATTTTTTAGGATTTTTCATATGTAGTTAGCTTTTAAAAATTTATTTACAAATATCTTATTTTTTAAAGTCAATTTCATAAATATTTTACTTTTTAAGTACATCTATATTCAGTTAATTTAAAATTTAAAAACATTTAATTAAAATGTTACAAAAAATAAAAAAATTTAAAACAATTTTTGAGTTCCAAAACCAAAGAAAATACTTTCTTAAAAATATATAAGTTTTCTCATTAAAAGGAATTCAACACACACACACATATATATTTTCCAATTCAAGTTTTTTTTTTTTTTTTTTTGGAAAAGGAAAAAGAAAAAGAAAGGTACAGAGTCAAAACAAAGTGTAGTTATCAATGAAATGCAAATGATGTTGGCAATAAATAAATAAATAAAGTAAAACGACACTAATCACTTGCGATGTTTACAGAAAATATATAGGCTTGTTTTGGAAATATAATTAAAAGTAATTTTTTGATTTTTTTGGCCAATTTTTTTATTTTATTTTTTTTATAAAATGTTAAAGAATTAACTTTTAATATACTTTTCAAAACAAGTGATAAATTTCACAGTTTTAATATAATTATATTGAGTTATTTTAAGATTTTAATTTATATAATTATATTGAGTTATTTTAGCCTCTATTTGGAAAGATGGGTTAGGGTGGGATTAGGACTATTTTAGCCACAAAAAGACAAAATAGACTTTTTAACCTGATAAGATAAAACATCACATCTAATCCATAATTATTATATTATTTCTCTCACAAAAAATCCTTTCCAAATGAGATTTTTTAATGCCAAACTAAAAAAGTCAACTCACTTTCCAAATGAACCTTTAATTTATTTTCATCAATAATTTGTTAGTTATATAGATGACAGAATTCGAAATTATATATTTTACATTGGTGAATTTGGGTTAAAATAGATAATAAGGCAAAATATCATATTAAAAATATAATTATTTCATTTTTTCTCTCAAAATTATCAAATCAATTACAAAAAAAATTAACATCACATCTAATCCATAATTATTATATTATTTCTCTCACAAAAAATCCTTTCCAAATGAGATTTTTTAATGCCAAACTAAAAAAGTCAACTCACTTTCCAAATGAACCTTTAATTTATTTTCATCAATAATTTGTTAGTTATATAGATGACAGAATTCGAAATTATATATTTTACATTGGTGAATTTGGGTTAAAATAGATAATAAGGCAAAATATCATATTAAAAATATAATCATTTCATTTTTTCTCTCAAAATTATCAAATCAATTACAAAAAAAAAAAAACTATCTTCTTAAACATAATTTTTTTAGTTAAGTTAAAACAACTAAAAAATTTTAAAAATCAATTAAAATAATGTATTTTCAAACCAGGCCATTGTTTATTTTTGTGTTTTAGCATAATCTCGACTAGTTTTAGTTAATTTAACTTTATTAAAATAAAATTTAGAGACAATTTGAAAATTTGATAAAAAGTTACCTTTTTATTTTTTAATTTTTTTACATACAAAAATCACAAAAAAACTATAAAAAAAAAAAAGGTCAACTTTTTTAGTCACAAAAGCCACCAAAAAATTTTAAACAAACTAAAAAGATAATTTTTTAACAACTTCTCAAAATACCACTTATTTTAATTGTGAGATTTATTGTGATTTTTGGAAATTTTACCGAAAGTCAGTGTAACTTATCCAGGAAAAAAAAAAAAGTAAAAAAAGAAAAGAAAGTGAAGCTGACGTGGGAAGTTGGTGCTTAGGTGGAGGTTTGGTACCCGCGCTTAACAGCATAAAGTATTTTTTGAAAACTTAACGTTAAAAGGAGCGGGAATTACAGTCTCCGCTGCTTCAGACAAATTGAAACGTCTCAAAATTAACTCTACTTTAATTTCATATACTTTTTATTTTATTTTTTTAATTTTTTATAGAGATTTCTCACTTCTTACGCTACGAAACATTTACGTGCTGGCCACTTTGGTAAGTGAGTTGGCAAACTACTTCAAATACAATTACCAAATTAGCCTTTTGTGGAGAATGAAGCGAGTTCGTTGTTTCTTAATTCCGAAGAGGGTGCAAGATGTGTTTATCGGACACGTAGCCCAAAATGTGTTGGATTTATTTTTTTATTTTTATTTTTTATTTTTTTGGTACAACAAATGTGTTGGAGTTTTAAAAAGAGTATTCTGTAAAAATCTTTTATAATAAAATTTTAATGTATTAAAGATAAGTATAAAAAAAAATTATTCAAAAATTTTGTACGCCCACTATTATTAAAATATTTTTAATGATTGATTTAATATTTTAAAATTTAAGATTACATAATTTTTAGAAGAAATTATTTATAAGTCCTATTAGGGAGACTTATGCTATATATGGTCTTACTAAAAAATTTATGTTCTCATAAGTCCTGTGGGAAGTTTTTTGACACATTTACCCTCAATATTAGTTGTTAATATCATAAATAATAGTAAAATCATATATAAGAAATTGAATGTTACCATAGATCATATCTATATAAACGTAACATAACGTGACACCTACATAAACGTAACGTGACACCTATGATCTATGGCAATATGCAATTTCATATATAGAAAATTACATGTTATCATAGATCATATCTACATAAACGAAATATAAGGTAATGTGACACCTACATAAACGTAACGTGACACATATGATCTATGGCAACATTCAATTTCCTATCTATGGCAACATTCAATTTCCTATGTATTCAATTTCCTATCTACATAGGAAATTGAATGTTGCTATAAATCATATCTACATAAACGTAACGTAACGTGACACCTATGATAGGAAACTGAATATTATCATAGATCACATTTATATAAAACGTAACGTGACGCCAACAACAACCAACAACATTTTCACATTTAATTTTAAAAAATAAAAACTCATTAAGTTTGCAAAACGTAATGTGGCATGTTACGTTACGTTTATGTAGGTGTCACATTACGTTACGTTTATATAGGTGTCACGTTACATTACATTTATATAGGCGTCACGTTACGTTACGTTTATGTAAGTGTCACGTCACGTTACGTTTATGTAGGATCTTGTAGAATACATTCCTATCTAAATAGAACTTAAGACTCTATAATAAATTATACAGGAGCCTATCATAAGTGTCTGAAAAAAAGACTTATAAATAAGTCTCCATAATTTTTAATTTACATGTCGATTTTTAATAAAATTAGCACTTGCTTGGTTTCATTTTTTCAAAAACACTTTTCAGAAAATTCAACTTTCTTATTTTCTGTATTTTTTTATTTTTACTGAATTTTTTTAATATTTTAAGCAATTTTTTACATTTTAGGCACACTTAACATAAATACACCTAAAAAGTAAAAAAAAATGTAAAAAAAAACTTTTAAAAATTCACTAAATACCAAAAATACAAAAAAATAAAATAAAATAAGAATTCAATACATTTTGTATTTTTATGTATGTATTAATTTTTTAAAATATTTTTCTACAAAGTTTTTACTTTTTAGATAGATCTAAGTAAGGTGCATCTAAAAAAAATTTTTAAAAAATATTTAAAATTTTAAAAATATTTACTAAAAACAAAAAAACACAAAAATCAAAAAAACTTAATTTTCAAAAAACGTAATCCAGAAAACTCAAACCAAACACTGAATATTTTTAAAATCATTTATTCAAAATTTGTTAAACAATATTCAAGTTTAATATGAAATTCTTTTTTAAAAAAATACCGACGTAATGGAAATAAACAATACAATTCTACTGTAAACTTTTTTTCATAGTAAAATTTTACTCTGATTGATAGTAAAATGTTACTGTTGATGTTAATTTCAACAGCAGAAAAAAATTTCTAAATATGATTTGAGAATAAAGTTTTATCTTGAGTTTGTGAGTTTTGAAATTATGATTTGAATGTGAAAAATTTGTTTGGTGAATGAATTTTGAAAAGAGTTTTGAATCCAATGGGATATTTTTTATGTAACATATGATATTTGATACAAAAACTTACAACTCATAACCAAATACACAACTCAAAATTCCATTCAAAACTTATTAAAAAAAATTTTGAAATTTTTTATTTAAAATATAAAAAATAACATGTGCCAATTGTAAAATAAATAAATAAATTACACTGTACCGATCAACCGGCTGGATGTCCTGAAGGACGACCGGTTAGCCTAAATTTTCCCGCCTTGGAAGGAATTTTCAAAAGTAAGTGTGAAATTATCTTTTGAAAATTCTAAACAAACACCA